TTGTAAGCAATTTTCTATATTGAAATTATTTTTAAAAAATATAATAAATTTAAATAAGTTTAAAAAGTTGAAGAAATAAAAAAATAATAATTTTAAAGACTCTCTTATGAAATAAATATAAATAAATAATAAAAAATATATATATATATATATATATATGTTTTTGCAAGAAACATTATTTATATTTTAATTTTTTAAAAAATATTTCAAAAAATATTTTTTAAATATATATATTAAACAAAAAAATACTTTTATTATTTTTTCTTTTTTCATAAATAGTGGTTTGAATTTTACATTTAGTTAAAATTTCAACTTAAAACTTTGTCAATCTTATATATTAGATTGCATATTTTTGTAATTTTTTGATACTTTTTAAGACATTAAAGATTATTTTAATTCTTACATAATAATTTAAATTATTAAAATAAAAAATCTTTTAATTTTATTTTAGCATTAAATTTTATTTAAATATGTTTTTATGTATTTAATTTATTTATGTTTTACTATTTTAATTAAATTTTTTTATAATAACTAGAGGTGAATATATATATATATATATATGTATATATACATATACAATAGCATATAAAGATCTTATACATGTTTGATTTTTTTATAAACCCATACTAATAGTAAGATAAAAAATACATATTTTTAGTTGTATATAAAATATAATATGTTTGAATTATTATATTAATTGGTATTTTTATATTTTTTTTAAATGATCACTTAAATTTTTGTTGGATTTGAAAAATTATTAACAATTATTTATTAAGGATTTGATTGAGTTAATTCTACAAACAAAGTACTTATTGAACAACTTTCAAAACTGGCAAAATGTTAGATGTGGTTTATTTAAAAATTGTGGTATTTGATCCTAAGTATTCTACTTGGTGACTAATAATAAAAAAATCAGTGTTTATAAATATTAAATAAAGTAAATTTTTATAAAAAAAATCATTTTAAAATTTTCATTAAGAGTTAAAAATGAAAACGACATTCTTAAAAAAGATTCTTAAATCTGAGACTAAGATACAGATAAGAACATTGTGTCATAGTAATTAATATCTTTCATAAATTTAACTTATTTATTGATTTTTATCAGTGTATCATATTTCAATATTGAATAATCTCAATTCAAATCAATATATCTCATAATATAAAATCAGGTTATAAAATTTTAATCTAAATCTTTAGTTTATTTTTATATTTAAATTAAGTTATATGATTAAATATTTATAATCTTGGAAATCTTATTAGCTAATTTATTAGTTACATAATTTTTAATAGAATAAATTTTAGAAATAAAATTATATATATATATATATATATATATATATTATAAATATAATATCAATAGTAATATGCATTATATACTTCTAATCATATTCACCATGTATATTGTATGAATAGAATAATTATTTATGATTTAAAAAATTATTTTGTCATTTATTACTTAATAAGAACAACATATTTAATTTTTTTTTCTCGTTTTTTCTTTCTAAGTCTGAATATTTTATTTTATGTTAGATTACAAACAAAATATATTTATTAGAATCAAAAATTAATAATCATATTATAGATATTTATGTATTATTTTCAATTATTGAATATAATCAACCTATGTTGTTCTTTGCTTCGAATTAATAATGTAATTTTTAATTGATTGACATGTATTTTTAAAACATTTATGCTAATATTATATTTTAATAAATAATATATTAATATATTAATTAATTAATTAAATAATTATAAGTATATCAAAAATATGTTATAAATGATATTACTATCAAGGACATGAATCTCAAAGAAACAAAAAATCAATACATTCTTGTGTTATTAAAAAAGACTAGATAATTTTTCTAAGATGATATAATATTAAACTAGAATGGCTATTGCTTAAGACAAAAAGACTAGAAAGTCTTCAAACAAGACTAAGAACTAAAAAGGTGTTGGCACATGAATAGCTAGCTCTTACTACAAGTTATCAGTATGTATGACATGTGGATAGCTTGTTGGACAAGTTTTTAACCTACCAATCAACTACTAATACATGTAAAGTCAAAGTAGTGTCTATGAAGCTTCTAAAAAGCTCTTCTATGAGATATTATCAAATTTATTTATTTTAATCTACTTCTACTTATTCATACTATCTAGATAATTATTGGAATAAATATGTTGGTCTATGACAATTATATAAATTTTATTCTAATTTATATTTTAATTGACTATATTTCTTGATTAAATACAAAAAATATTTTAATTTTTTAAAATAATCTTTAAAATTTTGATTTTAAATTTTAAGATTTAAAACCTTGTAATTATATTTTAAAATAATAAATAATATTATTGCATTTATTATCTCTTAAAAAAATCAAGAAAATAATTAGATGGACATCCTTTCTTTCTTCCATATTTTACACTCTTGCATCAACAATAACACTCTTGTTTACACCAAAAATATTGAAATTAATTTTATAATAAAAGATTTGTGTACAATGGTTTATAACATTTTTTTAATTTTTAAAATTTATCACATAAATTATATAATCCTTTCATTTACTATAAAAAGCTTAATTAAATGATATAAAAAATATTTTATTATTTAGTTCTCTTAAAAAATTATTCTTAATAAATTTTTTTATTGTGTGGATATAAGAGTTTGTAGCATGAAGAAGTGTCTATGCAATAAAAAGTAGGTGCCTACCTTAGAATTCCTTAAATTAAACAATATATCTTATAATTATTTTAAATCATTATTTTTGTATTGACTTAATATATATATGTAAATATATAATTTTAAAGAATTTTATTTTTAATTTTTTTTATATATATGCACATATAAAATAAATTATATATCTAATGATTATTTATATAAAATAAAAAAACCCTTAATTATTTTGGTTTAAAAATAAAATCCTCAAATCATTACTTAAGTGTTAAAAATATCTATGAGAACTAGTATATTTACTTGGATAAGTAAAAAATCTATGTCGAAGTAATCAAAAAGAGATTAAATTATTAATATCTTATTGGATTTTTTTTTAAAGCTTTGTAATATTAATTTGATTTTTTATATGTTTGTTGGTAGTTGGTAGGTTGAAAACTTGGCCAACAAGTTGGCCACATGTTTCACATGTTTGCTACTTATATAAGAAGTTGGCTACATAGTGCATTTGTAAACTTATCCTACAAGTTAGAAACATATCTTTTTTGTTAAACACATGTAATGTAAATTATTAGGCATTGCTATATAGCTCCTTAGTTAGATAGTATACATAGAGGCAAGAGTGAAGCCTTCTTTATTCTTTTCAATGTCTTTCTTTCCTTTATAGTAGTTTCAAGAATCTCCTCATTTCTTGTCTTTAACAATAACTATTCTTGTTACTTCTTGAATGGACACACACACACACACATACACACACACATATATATATATATATATATATATATATCTTGATTTTTTTTTTTATGATCTTAAATTCTTATCTTTAATATTCAAAAAAATTGAGCTTCAATTTTTGTACTTTGAGATATTTATAAAATTTGATTTATTTTTTAAATCTAAAGCTTAAGATGAATCATATAATTATTTTTAAAATTTTAAAATTAATATATTTAATTTGATAATTTGATAACCATTTACAACTAAAATAATATTTATTTTTTAAAATGCTTTTTGGTATATTTTTCAAAAATTATATTTTTTTATTACAAGGATTGTATAACTATTAAATATATGTATAGGTTGTAGAAAGAAATTTATAGTAGATATTTAAATTCCATCATTTTTAAATTTATCAAAATATATTACTATCTTATTTGAAAAATACATTACATATAAAACTAAATTTACAAAAACATACTATAATACATTTTTAGAACCAAAATACCTAATTAAATAAAATACATTATTTGTAAAAAGGATAAATATAAAAGTAGTTTTATTTTTGTGATAATGAATCAAATGCTCTAAACTAGCCAAATTATATTTATTTTACTTCAAATATGGCACAATTGTTTTTGCTTAAAATACTAAAAAAATTGAATAAAATATGATTAAAATTTTAAATATATCATTTGATATTCCTAATGACTTTAAATTCAGAAGAGGATACTAAAATAATATTAACTTGTAATCAATGTGAAAAATTGTAAAAATTCTAAAAATATTATCTTCTTTATAATTTTTTTTAAACCTCACTTATTGCAAAGTAATTATGAATGCATATAAATATTAAAAGTCTTTGACTACCATTAAGTCATTTTTGCACCAAATTTTTGTTAGATTTCTTGATTAAAACTTATATTTTCCTACTTCAAAATAATTATTTTGTTTCCAATAGGTATTATATATTTTTATCCAAGTTTAAAAAAATTTGTATAATAAAGAAATTATATATATATATATATATAATCTAATAATTAAATAAAAATAATAGAATAATTACAATCTACAATAGAGATTATTCTAGATATAAGAACTTAAGGTGGAATTACAAATATCATATTTAAACCAATTTTATATAAAGAAGAATTTTTTAAATTAAGATAAAATCACTTGATTGTGAATCAAATTTTGCAAAATTAAAAATTATAGAATTCTTAGAATCAACATCATAAATATATTAAAAAAAAAAAAAAAAAAAAAAAAAAACCCATTAATGTGGAAGTAAGTTAGTAGATAGAGAACTAAAATATAAGTTTTTAGTTATACACAAAAAGGTATTAAATGAAATAATTAAGATAATTTTGTAAGATATTTTAATAAATCAAATAGATAAAAATTTATGTTCTGAAACAAAAAAGGACCCTTGATTACAACTCACTTATTAGTAACTAGTGGAAATCCATGTCATTGGATACTATATCTCAAGCACATCCATCTATTTTCTTGTTCATTCATACTCCCTTGTTCCCATGTTTTTTTGTTCCTATGTTCCTTTGTTCCCATGTTCCTTGGTTTTTATGTTCTCCATGTTCCCTTATTCTCAAATTCCTTAGTTTCCATGTTCCTTTATTTCCATGTTCTCTATGTTCCCATCTTCACGGCCAAAGAAAATCTTTGTCTATATGTGTTATATCCTAGCTGTCTTGTATACTAGATCCCACATCAACCACAGACTGAGACTCTAGACCAAAACCCACTTCCATCAAAATGTAGGCGCTCACATGTGCTTGTTGACTCACATCAGTCTCTCAATTTGATAATTCCTGAATCACACTAGCTGTTGGAAGATTAAAAGCTTCTGTGACAATATAGTAGAAATTTTTAGAGCATTATGAGATACAGACTTTCTGTCATACTTATCCACTTGCTTGCGACATAATGGTTTGCCAGTCAATTCACAAGTCAAACCAAAATAGTGTAAGTTCTGTCAATGCAGATCTCCATCAGTCTCTGTTCCATTGTGTTCTTGGTTTCTGCAAAAGACATTGAGAACTGCATTACAACATAGCAACAGCAAAGTCAAGAGGCTGCGTCACCCTTTCACAAGAGACGCTGTGCATTATTGAGCTTGATGCGGGTTTTCGGTTTGCTATCAGTATCCCCACTGACCCCAAGTTCCCACGGTTTTGGATCACTCAACGTACTAAAGGTAGAGACAATTGTGACCTTGAATACTTTTCGGAGAATAGAATGCCCCTGTGGTGCAACAGAGGCAGTAAAAAGAAGACTGCTGTGATGAGATGACGCAGTGCCTCTGTTTTGTAAAAATACTTGCTCCCATTCTAAGTACCTGCCACAGAACTCAATTTATCCCATCAATAGAGATCCCTAATACATCATTATATGTGCTGTCAAATTCTCATGAGAACGAGAGTTAGGTAGGAGTTGACCAGTAAATAGAGAACGTTAAGCTTGAATTAGGTGCTCTGACAAAACGAGACGCACTGCTGGCAGCTAGTTAGGCTAGATGGAACGTATACCAGAAATAAAATAAAATAAAATAAAATCTACGGTGCTCATGGCAAAACCTGGGAGAGACTGAAGAGTATGCTTCACCAGTGAGACAAAGACACCATATCTAGAGTAGTCCTTCGTGTTGAGCCAATAGTATAATTGGCAGGAACCATGAAAGTCTTGACATCTTATCACACACGAGGTTCCTTGGCAACCACAAACCAGACAACATTCTAACATACAACAAAACATCCTGTAGTGCTAGAGAACATGTGTGCATGATCGTCCTTGGACTGCTAAGCCAAAAGGGGAGCCGCTTGACACAGTAGACCAAGGCAAGTTTTGACTGTCTAGTCTCTACCCTTCACATCCTATGCTCCGCTGACAATACAACGCTTTCCATATATTTCTCACAATGTCAACAGCCTACAAAGACTTCAAGATCAACAAATTGGTACTGCCTCTTCAAATAAAGCAAATTGACGTATTCGTACAACTTCGCAATAACTCACCCGTAAGGCTCAAGTCCAAAGCACTCTGATAGGTTGAGGCCTAGAGACAAGTTTGATGTTCTGAAAGGATATTCTGAGACAGAACAAAATATCACAGAAAATGAAATGATCTCCAATGAAATTCCGATTTTTAAATTTAGTTGACTGTTTGACAAATGAATGTGATCAGCAGCAGGTGGCGAGGAATGGTCATTTGAGACAAACTCTTTGATATCCCCTTGACCTTTATGGTCATCTTCGGCTTTTTCTACAAGGGACTCGACTCCCGCCTCGTTTGGAAAGCTCTGACCAACTGTCTCAAGAATTTGACTTTCGGAATGTTCAACCCTAGTTTTGACACCTTCTGGTCTATCTACCACAAATTAATTGACCACATCTGCTTCACCTGTGAATGCAGAGAGTGCTTTTGGCTTCCATGTCAGAATATCATCAATAATATTCGATGCTTTCTTTTGATATCTGCAAGTCATCAAACCACATAAAGAAAAAAGGAGTATTAGACTATCATCAACCTGAATGCGTGGGTATGGAATTTCAAATTTCAAATTTGAATTATTAAAATTAAAAGTTAAAACATAGAACCAAAAAAATAAAAAGTTTCGTCAGAAGAACACAAAAATCTTAAAGTATGTTAAAATATTTACCAAAAATGTCACAACTCCTCAGGCATAACAAGCATCTTTACTGATCGCTAATACCCAACAACTACTAACGAGCTAGGCCAGCCATAGTTTATGGAATTTAAAAATCAAGTGAGCAGAAGCAAATCCTAAAAAATTCAACGATTAAGTAGACAAGCTACCTTGCACGAGCTGCCTCATTTGGACCATGAACGAGCACAAGCCAAATAATCAATCCCGCCACGGCACCAAATGCAATTCTAGTGCTCCACTTTGGAGAAGGTTCATCGTCTTTGGAATCGGGCATAAATTGAAAAAGTTCAGACATCGTAGCCTCTTCCGCTAAAATGTTAGGCAAAAACCACATTCGCTTGCCCAATGCCAGCCAGAAGATCGCAAAAATAAGCGCTCTTACTGCAGGGAAATAAACGCACCACAGCAGAACAAGTACGATTCATACTACAGATCTTTATGTAATTCTTCAATAGCATGCGATCAACATCGCTATCATTCCATTACAGCTACTCATGCTGAGAATTCACTAGAAGTGGCATACTTATACAAAAATTGACCCATTTCCCTGCAATACTACGTTACCATAGTAACTCTGCCACCACCACGAAGTTAATAATAAAAATATAAAATATAAAAAATTCATTGTACAACATCCACTGCACCACACCAAGTATCGTAGACAGGAAAAATCAGCACGAGAAACTTGCGCTACATTTGCTGCTACTTACATCAAGACGACGTGGACACGTGGAAAGATAACTTACATGTGAGAACACCAAATATAAGGGTGAGGAATGCAAGAAAAAAGTAGAGAACGCCCAGCTTGCACCAGTGAGGGAAGATAGGGAATAGGCAGCACGCTAGCGTCACCACGGGAACGAAAAAGGACAACACCGTCTGCCATAATGGCCTCCTCCGTTCAAATGCCCACGCGTAGAATGAATCTTTTTCAGAAAACATTTGTTCCTGCACTAAGCCAAACTCAACTAAGCTACCAATGGAAAGGAACCTCACACCAAAAATAGAAAAACGTGACTCTTCAGTATCATGCAGTGCAATAATACTTAGGATAATGATGCATATTTAACAAAATAAACAGTATAAACAGTATAAACAGTAAACATATAAACATATAAACAGTAGTTATTCACTGTACGGTGCTTAATTACAAATTTAAGGATGGACCGATCGTAACTCACTGGGTAGATCTCTATGCGTGCTGGCCACTTTGAAAGTTTCGTCTTGCCTGGCCTTGGCGTCTTTGATACTCGATCACATCGCACTATCAATCTCCTCCTAATTAGGATATTGCCAACATCCAAATCCACATCTGCAATTGCTGCTTCAATCCCCAGAGGTTTAATAAGCTCAGGATGGGCTCGTAACAAGGCGATAAAATCCTTCCCTCTGAAATACTCAACTCTTGCTTCTTGCAGGACAGCCCATCGAGTGTCTAACTCCTTGTGGTCTCTCACCCTCTCTGCAAATACCCGTACTGGATCAACCTCTTTGCCCTGCTTCTGCATAGCCATGCTACGTGTATTAAAATAGAAACCAATTCAGAATGTACCTTGTAATACATAAATGTTAGAATCGGTGTTTGATTTGCTGCCCAAGAACCAAATGAAAATTTCTCGTCTTCAGAGATAATTCACATGCATTTAAAAACATACACATGTAGACATGCGTCTATCACATCCACATAGAGCTTCAAACTCGACAACCAACAACCAGCACGCATTTTTAAATAGACGGATGATTCCTTCTTATGCCAGGTTTTTCATCCGTGAAGTGGTTGACAATCCTGTCATAAGACAGAACCATGTACCGTATTTCCCCAATTTCCAAATACCCGAATGCTTATTTACCTTGCAATGGAGATCATTCAATTGGGGACTAATATAGTCTATCTGTAACGCTCAAAAACCTACTCGAAACAAATGTATCAATCGATTAGTTCCACCGAATACAAACTACGCGAAATACGCAAATTAAATTCTGCTCAGCAGCATTGCCAAATGTGAAAAGCTAGTGCCCTATAAATCCCATGTGATCCAAAGAATAGCCTAACTGCCGGATGCCACAGGAAGGGAACTGTCATCAAATTGCTACCACTGATAAACGGGCTTGAAAATTCTCCAACTTCGGCAATTCATTTCTGAAAAGTTCACGCCAAATCCAAAGAATTTCACCATCACAGAAACCTACTCGATAAACTGTCAGGCGAGAAGCACTAAGGCGACGTTAGTTCAGGCCCGTCCTTCTATCCGAGTTAAGAAAATCACACAGTGATCGGAACCTCCCACTGGAACTCACATTCCAATGCATACATGCTCCTCGGCAGAGAAACGGCACTAACAACATCGCCCCCTCTCAGGGTTTTGTCAAAAAGAGGCAGAGAAATTCAATACTACAAAAATCCTACGAAACAACAACGATCCAAAGCAAGGCGGCCTCACCTTAGTAGCCTTAGCGGCTCCATCAACTGCCTTCTCCACCTTCTTCTTCGCCATTTCACGATCGTCCCCTCACCACGCTTCCTGTTCAAGACGAAATCAATTCAACCAGAAGAATAAATAAAATAAACACAAAAAAACTAAACACAACGGGCTCTCTCAATGGAAAACCGAGCACTCAATTCAAGACCGTGTGGTAAACGCAAATGTGGAGAGTGTACAGGGGGTTGCGATGATCGTGAAGCGGCGCAATCCGAGCTGCATGGTCGAGCGACTTCATAAATAATTTTATGCACGTTTGTTCTGGACACACACACACACACACACACACAAACAAAGCAGAACAAATAAACGAGGACCACGACGACGCCTAACGACGCCTCAAGACGTAGGACCAGTGTCCCAAAGGGAAAGAGCTTCGTGGATAGATGAATAGATGGATGGATGAATAGATAGATGGATGGATGAATAGATAGATGGATGAATGCAATTCCCCGATTCAATGATATACGTTCGTCTTTTGGATGAAAGATGATGTGTTTAATAAAGCAGTTTCATTCGTTTTGGATGGGCGCCTTCCATTTGTCGAGGAGTGATGTTTTTCAACTTGTGGATGGATGATGTTTGTTTGTAGCTTGCTTGTTTGGCTTTGAGTGTCTTCTATATATGGATTAGTGTTGTGAAATAATTCTAAAACGTCTTAAAGAATTGAATGGAATCAATTAATTGGTAGACATATTGGCTAGAAAGAATCTCTTATATAAAAAGGGGGGATAAATCAATAGGACATACAAGAGGAGACAAAAATCCTCTTTAATTGGCTACATTTCATATTATTTTCATCAAAAGTGAACCAAAAGTTGAATTCACAAAGAATTAATAAAACCATAGGCCATGTCAATACATAGGGTTTTAAAAGCATCTTGAAACATTTGAAAGTAGTGAAGGTACACTCTACACATTATTATGATTGAAGTTGTTTTCAATGAACTTCAGCTCAATGTTGCTCAAAATACCTTAAAGATCATTCATTAAATCCAAGAAGGTGCCTAATTGCAATTAATTTGTATGAATAGTTTATATTGTTGTAACATAATCTACAAGAAAGAAAAGAAGGATGTCAAGTCGGTGTTGCATTGGGAGATGCATGATGAAGTTGTGATTGCACTAATTGATATGGTGCACATATGTTTTGCAAACCTATCCTCTATTGCTCCAATAAAGACAAATGTTATATGGAGATGGTGGTTTTTTTTCTTTAATGTTGGCAAGGCAAAGGAATGGTTGTAACAAGTAGGTGTGGTGGCATGTGGTGTATGTGTGGATGAGTGAATTGGAGAGCAAATGGTAAAAATGTGGATATATGATGTATAGAGAGTGGTAGGCAGTGATGCATTTTCTAATAAGCGGGTGTAGTTGGAAGCAAAATTCAAATGGTGCATCTTACAATAGCAAGTCATTGTCATGGTACTACAATGGTTTGTACTAGACAATGTAGAAGCTATCGATGCTCAAATGCCATGACTCAACATATGTATTAAAAGAGATTGAGAAGTACAAGAAGACATTCTTCACGTACTATGTATGCATATTGGGATTTGATAATGTGAACCACGTGCAAATTTCGAGGTTCTTGGCTGCTAAGCCAACTAAACCATTTGCCAAAACTACCTATGTTTGATTTGTATAAATAGAGTATGAGAAAATGTTCAATTGCTAGTGTAGAATTCATTACAAATGTTGAATGAAGTAGTGAATTTGTAACATCAGCTTTGCAATAGTTCAACCATGTAATTTTGTCCTATTATATATATTACATGATCTATTATCAATCTATTATATGATTTTTTGGTAATAGTGTAATATAATTGCACAGCATAATAAAAGTGATCAAGACATAGTCAAATTATAAGTGATAATGTTTGGCACCTTTAGATCCAAAAACTAATCCTGATCATTAAATAAGGTGGACTTCCATTGTAGCTCTACTTCTAATTTGCAAGTATCATCATTTTGTATTATGTAGATATCTATGATATTTTATTTTTTATATTTTATTATAATAATAATAAAAATAATAATTATTATTTTTATTATTATTTGGTACCTCAATTAATTATTTTTAGGATTTTATGTGAAGGACAAGAATCACAAATCAACAAAGAAGATAATATTGAGATAAGTACTTTGAAGAGATTTGTAACTTTTTTAGTTGAATTATAAAACAACATATTTTTCTTGACAATAGCAAAAGTAGAAATGAAAAAAATATTATAAATAATCTATCAGAGTTTGTTCACTTTTTTATTTTTTTAATAAGATTTGAATATTTGATTCTTATTTAATTGATGAATCTATAATACATATATTTTTTATTTTTTTATGAAAATAATTTTTTATTTATCTTTCATCTAAAAAAAATTCATAACTTGATTATAAATGAATTAATATGTATGCATCTTTTTTACGTATAATATTGATGTTCCATCACTTTTAAGGATATTTGATAATCAATGAGTTCCAAAAATAATATTAAAAACCTAAGCCATCTTATATTTTTATATTTTTATTTTTTAAAATCTAAATTTTTTATTCTCAACAATATATATTTCTTTTACCATGATAATTCAAAGTGGGCTTTTAGATATAAATAGTCCATATTATAATTAGTTTACAAAAAAATCAATTAATAATTTAAAATATATATATATATATATATATATATATATGAACTTAACAAATAATATTATAATTTATAATCAAACAAACAAATATAATATTATGTTTCTTTTTATCGTATAATGCAATTAATGTGCATCAAAAACATGCTGGATGATTATTCCATTGAATTTTGACATTTTTCTATACCTTTTTACTTACTCTATTGGTTTGAAAATAAATTTAACCTTGAATATATCATGATCAATAATATATATATATATATATATATAAACATATTTATGCCTATGATATATATATATATATAAGGAATAATAAATATGTTTTGAAAAGGATATAGTGACTCAAAAGAATGTTTCAATATTGACATATTTTAGAAAGAATGGTGCATAATAGATAAATTGTAATAAATAATGACACATGGTTTATATAGCAAATAAAGTACTCTTTTATAGCTACCAAATGAGCCTAGGTTAAAAAGAGTCCATTAGATAATTATAGAGCTATGACTAATCTAATTTGGAATAGTATTGAAACATTTTTTTGAATATGGTGTCCAATTTTTGGATTCTATCAATCACTCAACATTACAGCATTTTGTCATCATCAAATTTATTATGACAGTATTATTAATAATCTAATGACATCATTACTTCTTATTAGCAGCTATAAAAGTACCTTCTTAATCATAATTCTTAGCACAGACATATTCGAAATCACCACATTCTAGGATCTTCTAGAATCTTCTACAAATTTCTAAAACCTTCTAGATACTTGTAGAATCTTTCACAATCTTTTAGAAAGTTCCATAGGCTTTTAGAAGCCTCTTTAGACTTCTAAAAACTTCCATAGAAAGTAACATAGACTTCTGTAACCTTCATTATAATATAAATAGAAGTCTTTGAAATCACTTTTGCAATTAATCTCATTCTTTGTCTTTAATCTTGACATATTTCTTTGTCAAATTCTTGTATCTTTGATAATTCCTTGAAGATAATTCCTTGAACAACTATGAGACCCATTTTCTGCTTTCTCCAAGACAATATCACCTTTGCTCTTCTTTATTCTCAAAAATCTTATGGCCAGATTGTGTCACGGACACAAAATACAGACTTGAAATCTATCAAGAAGTTGAAGAAGAAGTGGCAGAACTAGATTAAACAGATGAGTACAAGAACAACACCAGAAAGGTGAGCTAGAACTCCAAGAGATGTGTTGTCGAGACTGAAGAACTCTTCAGCCTCGACTCCTATATATACTACTGGCCTATGGTTCTAAGGAAGCGCATCAAGAAGCTTCCCAAGAACTATGAAGCTTCTCGAGCAACTACCCAAGAGCTAGGAAGCTTCTCAAGTAACTTCCTAGAATCTACTAGAATATTCTAAGAATCTTCTAGAGCCTTCTAAGGGAATCTTTAGGGAATCTTCAAAGAATCTTTAGGAAATCTTTGAAGAATATTCTAAGAGAATATTCAAGAAATCTTTTAGAAGTTTCTAGAGACTTCTTTCTAGAAGGTTCTAGAAACTTGTCTCTAGAAAGGTCTAAGGACTATGTTCCTAACATCACCTCCTCCTTTAGCTTCGAGGTCTCCGAGAAGCAATGTTATCGTCAGTCAATACCAACGCAAGAAAATGAAGATCTATCGCATAACCTCTGCTATGAACTCCAATTGTTGTTCACGAGGCAAGTGATTCAATGGTCCTTGAAGCCAACGGTAGTGGCCCACGCCTTCAACTTCTGACCAAGCATGAACCTCCGTGTCTTCATTGTGAAATTGTCCTGCAAACACTCCTTCTGGCTGACCATTGTAGGTAGGCTCGACCTCAAATACAATCACCAGCGATCTGTTGCTCGGAATCCTTCGACATCGTCGTGGTGCAGGCGGTTCTTCATCTCGCGGTCGCCTTCGTGAGCTAGTTGCTTGAGATGACATGACAAGTGTAGTATCTTGGCTATCCATATTCAAAGGCTAAAACAATAAGAACAAACTTGGGCTACTAACAAAGTTCTACGCTATCTTGGAGAGAATGACTACATCAACTATGGATTTTGGTGGTGCTCTCTCCTCTTTTCTGTTTTCTGGATGAGCAAGCTTCAGTAAGAAGCTATCGTCGAACCGGCTTGGGTTTCTCAGGATATCGTCGATGAAACTCCTGTACCTTTTGCGGCGCATTCGCGAGATTTTCGGCCGGCTCCTATGTTCGTTCATTAATATCGTAACCGCTCCAATGCACAAAGTATTCTAATTTACCCCGTCTTTGCCGTGAATCCAAGACCTTTTCCACCTCGTATTCTTCGTGGTTCTCTATTTCTATGCTAGGTGGTGGACATTGTACTCTTCCAGGAAAAGACGATTCTCGATAAGGCTCTAATAAAGAAACATGAAAGACAGGATGTACCTTCATAGTAGCTGGTAACTCCAGACGATACGCTACAGGATTGATCTGCTTCTGGATAACAAATGGTCCCAATCTCCGATAGTCCAATTTGTCACATGGCCGCTTGGTCTTAATATTTCGTCGAAGCAGCCAAACTTTGTCTCCAATCGTGAATTTAGGTGCCTGATTCCGAAATTTATCCGCGGACGCCTTGTAAGATTCTTGGGCAGTTTGTAATTGAAGCTTCAATATAGTTTGAAGTTGCGAAAGCTCCTTCACCAATCCTTCAGCTTCCGGATTGTTAATCGTTGACGAA